TCCCAGGGACTGAGCCCGTGCTGAAAGAGTTAACTTAAATGGTATTTTATTCCAGATTTATTTACCATCTTACTGAAGAAGTAAAAATGCCTCATCTGAAGACATATCTGGCATTTCCAAATCTTAAGTTCATGATTCCTTGACTACCCACCCTCTGAATTCAGTAGAAAAAATCTGATTTTGTTACTTCCCTGAATAAATTTTAATACATCAGTTAGATCACTCTTGAAACTTCTATTTTTAAAACAGAAAAGAAAAACTTATGAAATCCCATCCTATTCTCAGATATCTTCAGAATAACTCTGGTATCCCTCCTTGGAATTGCACATAATGTTACATACGAGGCATAACTCATGATTTTTTCAATAAAATCATGGCCTCTTTAGACTGACAGTTTGATCACTCGTAATAAAAATATTGTCTCAATGACTAAAAGAGTTGTATGAACCAATATCCATGATCATATTCCTCACCTGCACAGTAAGGAGAATTCCTTACATGTATATGATAACCAACACAAAAAAACTAACCTTACATTTATCACAATTAAAAGTGATCTGTTCGGTGTTTGTCTAATTATTCAACCAATCTAAGTCTTTCTAAATTATAGCATTCTCATTACAGCCGGGCAGACCAAAGATTTTATTTACCAGCCACCACTAACTCTTGGGCTACTCTTCACAAACAAATAGTGGGATTGACAATCACACAATAATGCTCCCTCAGCTGAAAGGGCAAACATGTTCAGTGACTGGATTTGATCTCGCAACCTGCAGATTGTGAGTCATGTGCTGTAAACACCTAGCCATGCCAGAGTTTTTATATCAGCAAACTTAGCCAATTCCCCATCTATTCCCACATCAATGTCATCAACACAAGTGGGGAAGTAGCAATGGTATTAACACAGATTCAAAGACCACTTGTAACATTAGTCCATAAGACTAAACTTCATTAACAATTTTGCTATGGGCATCTTTTTCTGTGCTTGTTATTAGGTTTTAGCGAGTTACATTCAAAATTTAATTAAAATACTCTCTTATTATGTTAAACAAATACATCTGACATAAATATGTAGCTAATAATCCAAATTTTAGTATATAACATTTAAGTTCTAAATTTTATAAGGCACTGTTAAAAAAATCTTGAATTTCCCCCAAGTATAAGAATTGTAACATTTTCTTTCTAGATATCCCCTCTTTTCTAATTTATTTTCCACACCTCCATGAAGTATGAAATTTAATATACATTACTCATTACAATAATGTTATCTCTCAGATAAAGCATAATTTTCAATATTATTTAGTTACAGATCCATGAAATAGAAAATCAGATCCCACTTGCCATGCCCACCTGTCACATCCTCTCCTTCAGAAACTGCCAATAGCTCTCCAATTAAATATAGTTGTTTAAACATTTGTTTAACAACAAGTAAAAGCTTGGAATGGTCTATTCTTTCATTGGGGGTGTGTCTGTGGGTCAGAATAGTTTCGGAGAATTCCACTCCTCATCAGTGACCCTGGACACTACCACCGAATGAAACTTCAAACCAAACCAAGGCTTTATAGTAGTGAGGTATCAAAAATCAAACTGGTGTATTTACGTGTTTTACACTCACAAAAAAGAAACCTGTCATTTTATAAGAATTTGAAGAACTTGTAGTAACCGGTGGTAGTGTCCAGGGTCACTGATGAGAAGTGGAATTCTCCGAAACTAGTCTGGCTCACAGACACACCCCCAATGAAAGAATAGACCATTCAAAGCTTTTACTTGTTGTTAAACAAATGTTTAAACAACTGTATTCAATTATGTATCAGCTGCCTATTGTTGGCTAAAAATATGAAGAATTAAATTGTGGTGGGATGCTACAAGTTCTTCAAATACCTATAGAATGATAGGTTTATTTTTGTGAGTGTAAAACACTTAAGTACACCATTTCGAGTTCTCTCTAATGTTTAATACCATGTTAATTATAACCAAAACAAAGCCAATATTTTAGTCTATCAAATGACATAAGTTGCATTAATTTCTGCCATATAGCCAATTTTATGACCAAATTAAATGTGCTGTTGCAAAAATTTTACATATAAAAATTATTATCAGCTAGCTAAGGATTCCCTAGATATTGCTTATTTCCAAAGTCTGTGAAACTATACATAATAAAGTTTACTTTAACTCTTAAAATATTAAGCATATGTTCATAAAATTTGGCAAGCTTTTCGTAAATGTTACAATTCTGTTGTACACACAAAAAAATCAGATTTTCTAATAAATAAAGTATTCCTAATAAAGACTTGACTGTAAATTTACGAAGCCTTGACTGAGACATTTCGAGTGAAAGTGATTTTCATGATTAGAATAAAAGTAATTCTTTTCATCTTTTGGTTTTTTATTTCATTTCAATAACCTCTAGAATGTACTAATTGAATATTCAGTTTTTTTCTAGTAAAACTTTATATTCTACCTCTTATTTACTCTACCCTAACATGGAAATTGAAAAATATGAAATAAGATTAATAATACATGAAAATAATGGTCTGTAATAGTCACTGCACGTTCTAGCTACTTGTACTCAAGTAAGTATATTTGACAGTCTCTCTTAAAAGCCTTGTTGGGTCTCACAACTATGGTATCCAAAAGAAAAGTTCTTGTAGCATATAAGTATACATTTTAGAATGCAAGAAATGTATTAGTCACTGGAAAAGAATGTCCCAAAACTACTAGAATTTATACAGCTTTCTATGTAAGCCATAAATAGGCTAAAAATTATGTTACAGTTCAATAGCTGATCAACACAAACCAAGCAATTCTCATTGACTAAAAGTGTATGGTGGGGAAAAATAAGTGCAGTAGTGTAAGATTTACACAGAGGGGAATCCACCCTTTTTGACTGGTTATAAATATTTCCATAACCAATGTAAAGCTGATTAGCAAACAGTCTTAAGGTCATAAAGGAGAGGAGAGGTTACTCTGCTGGCTTTTACAAATTTATTGATATATAAGCAAATCAGGAAGTTAGGAATTTCAAATTATAGATTCTGGCAGATAATTACATATAATTTGTATTTCTAATTGGTTGGACACTTAGAAGTTATACATCCTGAAGTGTAGATATCAGAGCTCAGAAATGACACATGACACTGAAAATATGAACATTGAGATTTTTTAAATATTCCTTTTTTTTAAATCAAGAAGTTATGTATTACAAACTACATTTTTATATCAAGTTTATTGACAAACACTGATAATAAGTGTCATAGCATGCACACTTCAACCCAATCATATTGACAGAATTAACGTGTTGGTTACAGTGTCACTTATAGTAAATGAAGTGCGAAAAAACCATTTAAAGAAACAAAGATACCATGATCAACATGAAATTAATTCCATTAACTACCGATTAGGTCCTATAGTAGAGAAAATGAATTATTTCACTCAATGTTTGGGGTCAGTTCTTTACACTAAGACTTTTAACAAGCATAAAATAGCTCAATATAATGTAATATCTGGACTTCACTGATAATAAATCGGCATAAAAAGAAGTCTGTAATTTTAGGATGAATACGCAGTAAACACCATTATAATAAATTCTGTATTATAAAAAAATTACATTAGTTTTACCTTTATAAAACTATAGTTATGCACTAAAAGGGAGGGAAATATGTGAGTTTAATTATTTATTGAAGTTACAGGGGAGATTTCACTATTAACTAAAGCATTGGGAAAAAGTTAACCAGTATTTGATTCATGCCACTCAAAGTCTTTGTTAGTTTACATTTATTATAACACTAAAAAGGTGGAAAAGAATACATCAGGTTACAGCACACAGAAACAAGCTTCTTGTGGCAGTGTGTTCATACTTCACAAATAAGCTCAGTGAGTACCAGAACAGTTACAGCACACAGAAACAAGCTTATTGTGGCAGTGTGTTCATACTTCACAAATGAGCTCAGTGAGTACCAGAACAGTTTCAGTTAGAAAATGATTTCATTTGTCATAGTAGTAGTATTCATCTGTCTATCTCGAGAGACAACAGATTATTCTTTATTGTTGTTGTTGTTTTTTGTGCACATTTAAGAATTTTATTCATTCAGGCACTTTTTACGGTGACTGAAAAGTCCTATCCAGGATGTGTACTTTAAGTAATACTTAGATTACACAGACTGTTTAAAACTTGCTTTATACTAATGCTGTATGGAATTTTGCAGTGTCTATAGAGCATATCAATAGTTTCATGTAGCAGTCACAGTGTCCTTTGTAAACTAATTACAGTGTGGCTTTTCAGGTTATTTTAAAATGGATTTCTTTTTTGTTAAACAACACAATTAAAATTTACTTACCAAACTGGTCAATGCTTCTTAAATATCCAATGAGCGTTCTTCCATCTCGAAGTAACACCATCAGTTTTTCTTTAAAGCAATAAATATATTTTTTTTGTTAACATTTCAGTATCAACACAAAACAAATTTTAGTTACTTTAAATTTATAATGAAAATCATAATTACAAATCAATCCTATATACACACACACCAAGAAAATTATCCTCCAAGTAGCTAGTATGGCCCATCTACTACTTTTTAAGCTACAAGATAATACAAATGTAACACTCAATTTTGGTTTCTGCAAATGGGGTCGCCTTATATTTGTATTTTTTTGTTGGTTACCAGAGCAGTCAAATTGATTAAATGTGTACAGAGTCAGGGCAGAGAAAATAACAGATAAAATATAAAGTTTCAATGAAAAAAAATTTGATGTTTATTTAGGAGGTTTTAAATATTATGAAAATGAAATTTGACAACTTTCAGATGAAAAGTATTTTTAATCTTAACATGAAAATCACTTAGCACTCACAACAGTTAACAACTTGACTCCATATATTCATGGAGAAACTTTTAATAAAAACTTCATTAAACATTCAGATTTTTTTGTCTACAAAAGACTTGTAATGTTTATTACAATTTTGCAAAATTTCATGGAGATACATAAAACATATTAAAAGTTACAGTATGGAAACTAAAGGTCAGTTTGGAGTCACAACTTCAGTCAAATCAACCAAGCCCATAGTAAACGAGTTAGACAAAAAAGTTGAAATAAACAACAGGACAAAAGTGTTTTAAGTGTAATTTGAAGGGAAAATTGTCAGGAATTGCTGGCAAAAACCTGTATGAAATAAGAGCTAGCAGAGAGAATTGTTAAAAATGTGGGGAATCTGACCATTACAGCCAATACTGTAAGAAGTCAACAGCTGTTATTAAGCCAAATAGACACGGCCCAACCAGATCAAAGAAATATTACAGAGTTAACAAGACATTAAAAAATAAGAATTAGTTGGATTTATGAAGCAAAGTTTAGCTGGAAATACTCCAATTACGTCAAATGAGAAAATAAGTTAATTATTTGATGAAACTGCTCATGATTTCATTTGCTTAATGATGGAAAACCTTGTAGCATGCTGACTGACACTGCTTCTATATCTACAGTTAGTTAATTACCTATCCCAACTTGTTAATAAAAGATGAGAAATTGACTCCAGAGATGAAGAAAGAAGAGGGATTTATACAAACAGCAGATAAACATAAAGTTCCAGCACAAGAAAAGTTGGAAGTTACCCTTACTGTAGGGATCTTCTCTGTGCATCATAATGAGTGCAAAGAAGTGGATGCAAGATCAGGCGATCTTCAAATAGCTTCACAGTATATCATCAGAAAATCCCTATGGTCTATATGGCAATTATTACATCAGAGGTTGTACTTCCAGTAGAAACAGAGAAAGTGGTCATGATGCCACGAAGAAGTGAAATACTTAAACCAGGTCTTATAAACAATAATGTTTCATCCAGTGTTTGGGGCATAATGGAGCCCAATATTCCAATTTGTTCTGAGGAATTGGTGGTTTGAAGAGATATCTTGGATATGAATAATTAAGTTGTTGTTCAAAACTTTACCACCACCACCCCAAAAAAAAACTAACTTAAATCAGCTTGTGATAAAACCAAATCACTATGATGTTATCAGGGTGACATGGCATTGCTGAAGAATTCTTGTAACAAGAGAAGACAAACTAAAAGTTAAGTACATGATCAGAGTATAAGCAATCCAAGCCAAAGGTCATCTACATGATCACCTCTGGAAATATGTTAGTGAGAGAACTGCCAACTGGGTAACTCCAGAGAACCACTTGTCAGAAGAATTTCAAACTGTGAAGGCAACGGAAATCCCTGTCAAGACTACTTCAAGGATGGAGCCACCAGTATATCCACTGAAACCACCTACCTAGGAAGAAACCCTTTGCAACAGAATGGCCAGTGACATCCTGTGACAAAATACCACAGGCCTTGGAAGGTAAAACTGCCAAAACAACTTGGTGAATGGACAATTTCCTCCTCTTTGTTGTATTAGGACTGTTTGAAAGACTTTACAATCCACGAAGGGAATAGTGCTATAAGCTATATTTAAATGTTATCTCTAGGGTTCATGACATTCAGATCAAGTAAATTTGTAAGAGTCAGCTTATTATATTCTAAACTGACATCAACAGAACCTAGAGGCTTTGCAAAATATGATGAACAAGAATTACAAATAAATATCGGTAAGCAAGGCAAGACATTAGTAAGCTTGTAGTGAGACAATAAAACACCAAGATAGTTTTTCTTGCCAGTAAAGTGAACCACTCAGTGTTTTTACATTTTCTGGATCTATGTTGGTTACTGCACATATTAAGTGTTCATTCGTACAATATGATTCTTTACATTATTGTAATGCACATAGCATGACTGTAAAATTAGGCCTACACCCAATTACAGATTATAAAGTGTACAACTACAAGCGTGTAAATAAACATTGTTACATGTTATTGACACTGAATTATGTTTGCCAGATAATTTTAAAGAAACTGCTAACGAATGAACAAGTTCACAAGATAAACATAGTATTTAATTTTAAGTTTTACTCTTTGACTTTAAAGTTTAATGACTACAAGAGTACAAGGGACTTGTTGCTCGATCTAGGTTGTCTTATTCACTAAATTAAACAGGACTAAGGTAATTATTCTGTATTTAAATTTTAATGTAAATCAAGCACCAACAAACATCAAATTTGCAGTTATTATATATCATAGCCACTGTATCACTAATGCTACTAGTACTAGTTACTAATAAATGGCACTGAATAGCTAGTGCCAATACTTAAGTGAAACTTGAAAGTACTCTATTAGTATTACTACTAGTGTATTAGAATTGAGTACTAGTACTACTGTAAATAAAATTAAAAATTGATAAATTGTTGCTGTTTGAGTTTTTCGATAGTTATTAATTCGTAACATTAACTTTACGTTAAACTTACTATCTAGCTCATACAGTAAACTTGCTGTTCCCGAAAGATAACTCATTATTTTTATGTTCGTTTTTAAAGTACTCGACTTTTTAAATGACTTTAAAGTTTAATACGCGTTTAAGTTCAAATTCGATACCGCTATACTGCTATATTCCATCGCATCCAGGATTGACAGATACTTCTCTCAAAATCCCCCTACCGATAAGTAAAAAATATCCAAATTTCAGCTGCTTTCTTCCATGAATGCTGTATTGTTGAAAAATAAGAATAAAAGACATTATTTTCATTTTTACAGACTATTATTAGATGTATTTTACAAGGATATAAAATATGAATGAATAAATATAATTATCATTACAAAATTATTACAAATATGTAGACCTAACCAGGCCATTGCAAACGTAGGCTTCCACGAGTTATGTTCCTTATCGATATAATATATGTTGACTGATATCTCCTGGAGTCTGTTTCTTTGTAGTTAAGCACAAAACTACACAATGGGCTATCTGTGCTCTGCCCACCACGAGTATCGAAACCCGGTTTCTAGCAGTGCAGTCCTGTCCCCTTTACTCGAAATATTATTGTACTGTTCGTCGGTCTTTTATGCTATTTTTATGGCAACATAATTGTTTCAATGTGTAAAGGTGAAGTGAATAATAAATATAAGTACTTCAGGAATATCAAACAAATTAGAACTCATTCAATATATAAAATGAAACTTTCTGACCAGCAACGATAAGAAAAATCCAGTTTTGTTTTTATAGTATTTTCCAGTAACCGCTGTCATTGTCTATCGGAGATTGTATGAACAGACAAGAAAATTAGTATACTGTTGCGTCAGCGAAGTCACATGACTAGTATCACGCCACCTACTTCTCGAACCTTCGTGAATTATCGGGAGACTACTAGATTGGGGGTAGTCTGGTATATATAAGATGGTCACAACTTGACAACAGAGGTAATGAGTAATTGAACTGCAGTCAGAGAGTGTGTAATTGAACTGAGCACGTGAGACGTATGGTTTTATAGCGTTTTTTATAGCGCGACTGTTGAAATTAATTGTATCGTAAAGTTATATTCAGAAAGAATAAACCAGTTCTATTTAAGAAAGGAATTATGTCGCTAAAGTTTCGTCGGAACGAAGTTACGGAAAATTAACTAACGAACGGAGACGTAACATTACGATGGACTATTTCACATTTTCTGACACAGAGTAACAGTAGGAATAGATATATATTGCTTGTGATGAACTATTTCGCATCTTCTGACCCAGACAAACAGTAGGAAGAGCTATATAGTGCTTGTGATGGACTGTTTCGAATATTATGAAACAGTAACCATAGGAATAGTTATATCGAACTTGTTATGGACTATTTCACGTCATCTGACATAGAGTAACAGTAAGAATAGCTATATCGTGCTTGTGATGGACTATTTCAAATACTGTGACACAGAGTAAGATTAGTAATAGCTATATCGTGGTTGTGATGGACTATTTCACGTCTTTTGAGAGAATAACAGTATGAATAGCTATATCGTGCTTGTGATGGAGTATTTCACGCTTTCTGACACAGAGTAACAGTGGAAATAGCTATATCTTACTTGTTATGGACTGTTCACTTCTTCTGACACAGATTAACAGTGGAAATAAGATATCGTGACAGTGATGGTCTATTTCATGTCTTCTGAAAGAGAGTAACAGTAGGAATAGCTATATCGTTTTTCTGATGGACTATTTCACGTCATCTGATGCAGAATAATAGTGGGAATAGCTATATCGTGATAGACTATTTCACGTTTTCTAATACAGAGCAATAGTACAATTAACTATAAGAGTGGAAATAACTAAATTGTGCTTGTGATGGACTATTTGACGTCTTAGACACATTGTAGCAATGGGAATAGCTATATCATGCTTGGTATGGACTATTTCACGTTTTCTGACAGAGAGTAACATTAAGAATACTTATATCGTGCTTGTGATGGACTGTTTCACGTCTTCTGACACAGAGTATCAGTGGTAATAGCTATTTCGTGCTTCTGCTGGACTATTTCGCGTATTATGAAACAGTGACATTGGTAAAAGCTATTTCTTGTTTGTGATGAACTATTTCACATCTTCTGACACAGCGTAACAGTAGGATTAACTATATCTGCTTGTGATGGACTATTTCACGTCTTCTGACACAGAGTAACAGTGGAATAGCTATATCGTGCTTCTGCAGGACTATTTCGCTTATTATGAAACAGTGACAGTGGTAATAGCTATTTCATGCTTGTGATGGACTACTTCACGTCTTCTAACACTGAGTAACAGTAGGAATAGATATGTCTTGCTTGTAGTGGACTATTTCCAGTTTTCTGACACAGAGTAAAAGTAGGATTAGCTATATCTTACTTGTGATGGACTATTTCGCGTCTTCTGAAAAAGAGTAAGAGTAGGATTAGCTATATCTTGCTTGTGATGGACTGTTGTACATCTTTTGACAAAGAATAACACTGATAATAGCTATATCGTGCTTATAATGGACTATTTGTCGTCGTCTGACACAGTGGGAATAGCTATATCGTTCTTGTGATGGACTATTTCACGTATTCTCACACAGAGTAACAGGAGGAATAGATATATCGTAATTGTGATGGACTATTTGTTGACGTCTGACACAGTGGGAATAGCTATATCGTTCTTGTGATGGACTATTTCACGTATTCTCACACAGAGTAAAAGTAGCAATAGATAAATTTTGCTTGTGATGGACTATTTCACGACTTCTGACACAGAGTAACAGTATTAATAGCTATATCGTGCTTGTGATGGACTATTTCACTTCTTTTGACACAGAGTAATAGTGAGAATAGCTATATCATGCTTGTGGAGGACTATTTCAAATCTTATAACACAGAATTAGTGTCATAATAACTATATCGTGAAGGACTATTTCAAGTCTTCTGACACAGTAACAATTTGAATAGCTATATCATGCTTGTGATGTACTATTTCATGTCTTCTGGCATAGAATAACATTAAGAATACTTATATCGTGCTTGGGATGGACTATTTCATGTCTTCTAACACAGAGTAAATATAAGAATAGCCAAATGTTGCTTGTGATGGATTATTTCATGTTTTCTGACACAGAGTAATGGTGATAATAAATATATCTTGCTTGAGATGGACTATTTCGCGTCTTCTGACGAAGAGTAACAGTAGGAATAGCTATATGGTGCTTGAGATGGACTATTTCACGTCTTCTCACACAGTGTAACAGTATGAATAGCTATATCGTGCTAGTGATGGACTATTTCACGTTTTCTGACACAGAATAACAGTGGAAATAGCTATATATTGCTTGTTATGGACTATTTCACGTCTTCTGCAACAATAAAAGTACGAATAGCTATATAGTGCTTGTGATGGATTATTTCACGACTTCTAACATAGAGTAAATATAAGAATAGCTATATGTTGCTTGTGATGAACTTTTTCAAGTCTTCTGACACTGAGTAATAGTGATAATAACTATATCTTTCATCTGATGGACTATTTCACGTCTTCTGACAAAGAGTGATAATGGGAATAGCTATATCGTAATGAACTATTTCACGTCTTCTGAAACAGACTAAGAGTAAAAATAGTTATATCGTGCTTTTGATGGACTATTTCACATCTTCTGACATAGAGTAACATTAAGAATACTTATATCGTACTTGTGATGGACTGTTTCACGTCTTCTGACACAGAGCAAGATTGGCAATCGCTATATCGTAATTGTGATGGACTGTTTCACGTCTTCTGACACAAAGTAACTGTAAGAATAGGTATATCATGCTTGTGATGGACTATTTCACGAAACGGTGAAAAGCATATATTTTTCCTAGCCACGAATAATTAAACTTTAACAAGGAAATTGAAAATGAAATTTTGTAATCATAGAATCATGTATCAGCTTTACCTCCTGCGATGAAGGAAAAAAGCATCTAATATTTTGGTTAATTAATTACGGTAAAATAATAACTTAAGCAACAGTGAATCATATCTTTGATTGGTTGTTTAGGCAGTGTATTCATAATGAATCTAAGTTTCAAATGGACAGCAACTGCCTAGTGTAGAAACCTACAAATGTAC